TCCCCCAACTCTGCTCTTGAATGTTAACAAAGATCTTCTGTCTTTAGAAGCTTCCATTGTTCCCCAGCCTTATTTGAACCATCTGGAAAGCCACCCATTGTCTCTAATCCTACATCAGTCAAGGTAATGCGAGATGTTATAACAAACAAATCCCAGACTGTATTTTGGCTTCGACAATGTAGTTGATTTCTTGTTTACAAAACTCTCAAATGAGTGTTCCTGATCAGTGATGTTTGTTCTCTAGGGATTCCAGATCTTCCTCGTGGTTCTGCCATTTCTAACTTGGTTTCCAAAGCTGTCTTAGTTCAGGCTGCTCCAACAAGTTGGCTTATCAACGACAGAAATTTATTTCTTGTGATAATGGGGCCAGACATCTGAGATCAAAACACCAACACGCTCAGGCTCCCGTGAGGCTCCGCGTCTAGGTTGCAAACTTCTGACTTCTGCATCCTCACATGGTGGGACGAGAACAAGTTAGTTCTCTGGTTTTGTCTTGTAAGGAAACTAACCTCATCATGAAGCCTCCACCCTCAGGACCTAATTATCTCCCAAAGGTCTCACCTCCAAATACTATCACATGGGGGATGAGATCTCAACATATGAATTTAGAGGAGAGGGTTCATAAACATAGCAGGGGGACATAAACATTCCATCCATAAAAAAAGGGGGGCATCAAATTGGAAGATGGGAAAAGGAAAGGTGGAGATGGCACATCTCCTTTGTGACTCTTGGGCCAGAATTGATATCAATACGTTTTATCCTGGTCAACAGCCCACTGGCAAGAACTAGTCCCTTGACTCTTCTTAGAAGTAACAGATGTGTGGGGAATGCTCTCTCTGCTGGGAAGCCCCTTTCCAGGCTTAACTTTATTCTATGGGAAACAGGGGTGCTTCTTTGTTAAATTCTTTTTTTATTTTGCAGTCCTGGGGAATAAACCCAGGGTCTCACACATGCTAGGCAAGCATTTTACCACTGAGCTACATTCCTAGCCCTTTTAAAAATTTTATTTTGAGACAGGGTCTCACTAAATTGCTGAGGCTGACCTCCAACTTGTGATCTTCCTGCCTCAGTCTCTTGAGTTGCTGGAATTACAGGCATGTGCTACCTTATCTGGCTGAGATCTAAGACAGGGAACTTTTGTTGTTGTTGTTGTTAATGGTTAACCTTCTTCTCTGTAGCATACCCTCACTTTCTTCAGAGCCTAATTTGGAACTTCCCTGGCTTCCATGTCCCAGGGACAAACCTGGGTGGACCGATTTGTGCCAATTCAGACTCATGTCCTTTGAAGCCAGCAAGGCCCCTCGGTTGCTAGGTTTCTCTCCTACTTCCCATAATAAGTGTTCCATGCCCTCGTTGCTCAGCAGCTTCCCCTAACCCTCACTCTCAGCAAGGAGAATTTTAGGGCCAGGAGGCATGATGCCCTTGCACTTTCCCTCTGCTCCCCACCCCCTGCACTTTTATAAACAAACTCATGTGTACATGCACTCCAGCCGCCTCTCTGCAGTCTCCCAGCATAAGTGTCTCCCCAGGTTTCAGATCTATGTCCCCACCTGCCTGCCTGGTACTTGCAATTGAATGCCTGAGCTCTTCCAAACAGAATGCATCATCACTCAGCAAACTTCCTCTTGTGGTTTCTTTCTCCTATGGTGACACCCTGACCAAAATACCTTCCCAAATGAAAACCTGGAGAGAGCCTGGAGTTCTTTGTTGTCTTGTTTCTCAGGTTAAATTCTAGCTAAGACATTTGCTTGTCTGTTTTTGCAGTACTGAGAACTAAACCCAAGGGGCTCTACCACTGAGCATCATCCTCAGCCTTTTTTTTCTTTTGGTACCAGGGATTGAATCCAGGAGCACTTTACCATTGAGCCACAACCCTAGCCCTTTTTTATTTAAAGACAGGATCTCACTGAGTTACTTAGGGCCTTGTTACATTGCTGAGGCTGGCTTTGAGCTCTTGATCCTTTTGCCTCAATCTCCCAAGCCATTGGGATTACAGGCATGCGCCACTAGTCCAACTCTACTCATATTCTTTTTTTTTTTTTTTTAATATTTATTTATTTTTTTTTTAGTTCTCGGTGGACACAACATCTCTGTTTGTATGTGGTGCTGAGGATCGAACCCGGGCCGCACGCATGCCAGGCGAGCGCGCTACCGCCTGAGCCACATCCCCAGCCCATCTACTCATATTCTTAAACCTTCTAATTTGCAAATGAAGCTTAGACTATCTTCTGAGTTCCAAGACCCACTAACTGGCCCCATTGTCCCGTTGAACCAGCCCCTTATTCCAGAAACACTGGACTTTCCTCTGCATCTGCCCTTCATCTGCCCTGGACCCCACTTTGGGGGCATGGATGAGGCCCTAGAATAGCCTTTGTTTTTCCATGTCTCTGCTTAGACCTCTCCTTGGTTAAGCTCTTTTTTGTCTGCTTTCAGCTCCATAAGGGCAAGAGCCCTTATCTCAGTACCTCAGTGCTTGGAACAAGGTTTGTCATATAGTAGGTGCTCAATGAGTACTCACTGAACAATGAAGAGGGTGAGAAGGTACCTGTTAAAGGGATAGAAAACTTGATTTTGTCTTGCCTTATGCTGAATGAACATTTCCTTCTCAAGAGAGCCAAATTTTATGTGTGTGTGTGTGTGTGTATGTGTAATCTGATCCTCCACCTGAGAGCCTCCCTATCAATTAATCATGACTGGCTATTTGCACAAAACTTTGCATGGAGGGCCAAGCTGCTTGCCCTGCCAGAGCTGTGAGCTAACTTCTGGCTGACTTGAGCAGGAGATTCACATCCATGGCTCTTGCTGGACTGCTGCCCCCACCCCTCCACCAGGACCCCAGGACAAAAGCCAGGAAGTACCAATGACTCCCCATTTTCCATTTCTCTCTTTTTGCCCCCCAGATTTAGGTAAGAAAACCTGTCCAAAAAGAATGGTTGTCCAAAGGTCAGTGCAAGTCAGGTATCTGATTATTTCTGCTCTGCCATAGACCACGATCCCTCCTGCCCTCTCGGGTGACATAAGGCCCCATGGTGCTAACATAGACCCTGGATGGTGAGCTGGACTCTACAGGAAACTGCCCATGACTGGGGAGGGTTGAGACATGTACCCCAGATCCTTAGGTCATCTTGTCTGTCAGCTATTTTCCTTAGTAGGCAATTATTGCAACTGACACCCACCCCAGCTGACTGGACTCTAAATGCAGGAAATCATCCCAGAAATTGATGGCTCATTGGTCAGGCATTTTGTCTTTCTTACTAGACCATAGTCTTTTCTCTTTGCATTCCTAATCTATTCCTCTTTTCACAAAAGCCTTCACCATCTTTTACAAGGCCCATCATGACCACCAGCCCTGAGTCAGCCTGACTCACAACTTCAGGGCCCACTGCCATGAAAGCAGGCAGAATGGCAAAGCAGAGGAACCTGCATGTGGCTTGGTTCCGCCTATGCGATGAGTTGTTTCTCCTGGGTTAGGCTTTCAAGCCTGGCTCATCACCAAAACAGGGGAGGAGGGGCCGGGTCAGCTGGTACAAACAAAATAGCAGGGATTGTGCAGAGGGAAAATCCTAGGAGGCACTTGTGGGTAAGGATCCAATTACAAGTATAGGGAAAAACTGTGAAAAATGTTGAAATGTAGTGGGTGTCTGAATAACTTACCTACACAGGTTCTCTCTGCTTTTTGTTGTCTTTAACTAGACTATTTCTTGACTCTCTAAAGATAAAAATTAAACTGTAAAAACTTGGGGTGGGGATGTAGCTCAGTGGTGGAGCACTTGTCTAGGCATGCACTAGGCCAGGGGTTCCATTCCCAGCACTATGGGGAAAAAAAAAAGGCAAATTGTGAAATTGTGTCTGGTGGAATGCAACTGACTATCCTTATGACACTGACCAGTTCTGTATTAAGTTTTTTTTTTTTTTTTTTTTGGGGGGGTGGGGTCCTGGGGATTGAACCCAGGGGCACTGAGCCACATCCTTGGCCTCCCTTTTATATATTTTATTTAGAGAGAGGGTCTTGCTGAGTTGCTTAGGGCCTCCCAATGTTGCTGAGGTTGGCTTTGAACTTGTGATCTTCCTGACTCAGCCTCCCCAGCTGGGTCATTTCTAAAATAATTTCAGCATTCCTTATCTGACAATCACGTGTGATCATTTGAGTTCTCCTTTAAATCGATTGCAGTATTTTAGTAGTTCCATCATGAACTAATAACTTAAATATCATCTTTGACACATACTAATTTTATATTATAAGAGAGTTAGGATGACATACTCTTCTAAAATTTTCAGTAAGCTGGGTGTGGTAGCCCACACCTATAATCCCAGTTACCCAGGAAGCTGAGGCAGGAGGATCAGAGGTTAGAGGCCAGTCTGGCAATTTATTAAGACACTATCTCAACTTAAAAAAAAAGGTCTGGTGATGTTGCTCAGTGGTAGAGAACTTGACTGGCATGTACAAATCTCTGGGAACAATCCTTAGTACCATGAAAAAAAAAAAAAAAAAAAAAAATATATATATATATATATATATATATACATATATATCTCAATAAATATGGACAAAGCCTGTATGAGCACATTCTTATTTTAGAAACATTACTGCTGTAGAGAGAAAAAGTATAGAAAGATGTACAAGAAGTCATCTGTGGGAAAATATGGAAGGAGGCACTTATTTGTCTTTTTAGATCATTTTGTGCCATTTTAATCTTTTAACTGTATTTAAAATTGTTCAATTTCAGTGGACATTATCCAGGCAAAGGTTTGTGTATCATTTATGGATTGTTTTTTAAATACTTTTTTATAAAAATAGCATTTACTTTATGATTGTTTGTTCTTCTTTTCTCCCTCCCCCCACTTTTCTTTTCTTTTTTTTTTTTTTTTTGGTACTGGGGATTGAATCCAGTACCACTAAACTACATCCCTTGATTTTTTATGTTGAGACAGGGTCTCAGTTGCTGAGACTGGCCTTGAACTTGTGATCCTCCCAAGTTGCTGGGATTGCAGGCATGAGCCACAGTGCCCAGCTTTAATTATTTGTTAAATTGTCTGTTCAATTGTTTGGACTTTTATGACTATATGTTTTATTTTATAATTAAAAAAAAAACCCAATACATATTATGACAAAATTTTGTAAATTTCAAAGGAAACAGTAAAACAAACAGTCAAAACTACATCTTGGCATATTGCTACAAAGCAGCTGTGAGCAGCCAGGGTGGTTATGACATCCTTGTGACATGCTGCTGCCCTCAGGGAAGAGGTTCACACTTTACCACAGGCAAAGGATTCCAGGCACCAACTACACTCATCTTGCATCTGGAAGTGTTCAGGTGACAGGACTTCCTGCACCTGCCCCCTGGCAGCCCAACTCCGGGAACACTCCATGGAAGATCCTGCCAGAGCAGGAACATCCGTTTCACCTGCCCCTCCTCCCCTGGCAACTTGAGAGGCATCTGTCCTCAATGGCTTGCAACTGAAACAGGAGAATCACTGCCAAACCATTTCTTGCACAACAGTGTACTTCCGAGGAACTACACAAAATTTTTGTCAACTGAATTGTATCTTCCTCCTGACTTACATGATAGTCCAGATATGCTCTGACTTCCGTGTTCATGGGTGGATCATTATTGGTAATGGCTCCCAACACTTCATATTCTTTGATTTCCACTAAATACCTATAAAACAGCATTTACTTCACAATGCAAGGGTAGAAACTTCCTTCTAGGAATTCCTCCATCAAGCAAACTTGAATGTTTGTCTCTGCTGTTTTCTTAGTGGGGAGCAGATAGAGAGAGATGGCTGGGGGTCTATCTATGTCTCAGCCCCAACAGCCTCCTCCACCTCTGGCCTGAGTGTGTGTAAGCCTCTGCATTTGGCACATCTGCACACAGGTGTTTCATTCATGAACTCCTGACCAAGGAGGTCAGAAAAGAGGGAAGACATTGGCCTGGGGGTTCCCCTGGCTCACCATCAATCTCAGCTGGCCTGACAAGGACTGATTTTGGCTCACCAAGCACAGAGCCTCAGTCACCTCCCAAATCATGAGACTGGTACCCTAGGGGGACAAGAACATCTTATCAAGCTGCAAGTCACCTCTTATCAACTGTCATGGGAAGGCAGAGCCTTACCCTAGTGCCATTCCTCAGGGATGTTTGAGCCCAGACCTTTCTATTTCACTCTCTCCCTGAAGGCCTTCAGGGGCTCCCCACTGTGTCCAGGATGCAATCCACACTGCATGGTCTGGCCTTCAGTTTCCTTGCTTCTCAACCTGATCCTTGCTATGTCTGTGGTACCATCTATACACTGCTGTGTACCTACCCCTTCACCCCACACACCAGGAGTCCAACTCATACATGGTCTGCAGGCTGTTTTCCAAATCTTTATAGTTGCCAAAAATACCTCATTTCAATGGCTGCCTCTTTCTTATTAACTGATGCCATCCAAAATGCATTTCCACAGATGCAGATGTGGGCCAAACCCATGTTCGTTCTAACGCAGGACCTTACCCTGGTGATCACACAGCCCCTGGGACTGCACCTGAATGAACATCACGCAGACCACTTTCCAGAATGGTTCTCTTCCTGTGAGCAGCTGCAGATCCTCCCCCACCTCCCAAAAGCTCACTGCTGTGGAGCAGAGGCAGTTAGTTGTATTAGGACACATCACAACATCTCTCTGCCAAAGTGACAACTACAATTATGTTTTGGCCGACAGCTGGAGATGAGAGAATATACAAACAACTCAGGCCTCATGCGTGCCCATGAATCAGCAGTTCGTGCTGTCTGCCCAGTTAGTAGGTAAATTGGGCCCCTCTGCCAGTCAAAATCAGGCCCTCCTGTGGTGGGCAGCTTACTGCCTACAGACCTCTGGTTAGCACTCGGGACCCTTGGGTGAAGTCCTCCATTGGAAGTGGAGGCTACCCCCAGGACTTAGGAGAACAGAAGAGTCAGGGTGGTCAACCCCAGGCAAGGCCCAGCCTTGAGGGACAGATACTTGTTTCCTAGGCAAAGGCAGAGGCAGGCAGGTCAAACAAAGGGCCAGGCTGCCCAGGAATGAAGGTTATCATGCTGGGCAGCCTGAGACATTATGTGCTGGTAATTGGTAGAGGGTCTTTCATGAGAAGCCTCTGTGCTACAGACTATGAACCAAAGAGTGTCAGTATTGGGGCCAAAATCTAGTAGTAGAACCACCTCCGCAGGGGCAGCAGCTTCCATGATTGAGCCCTTCCAATGGGCCAACACTTGTGCCTCAAATACGTCATTTAAGTTTCACCACAATCCAGTGAGTGGATTCTGTTATTATGCCCATTTAACAACTGAGGAAACTGAGTCCCAGACAGCAATTTGCCTGAAGCCATGTGGCTGGCAATGTAAAGACAGAATTTGAATCCAGATGATCTGGCTCCTGGCTTAGTTGGTTGTGTCTTGTTGTCCTGGTTTGTCCCTTTACATGTAGTCTCAGCTGCAGGAAACGAAGAGACCTCCAGCACATTTCCACCTAGGGTGAGATGTTGGGGCCTCCAAGAAGGCTTTGGCCTGAGAGCCAAGATGTTACTTACCAAGGAAAATAAACAACAGCTATTTTGGGTGACAGGTGCTGGGCTGTGGAATTAGAAAAAAAAAAGCTGCAAGGATTTCCTCATTGTACATTTTTGCATGTTCAGCAGGAATAAGCGTCATTGGGAAACTGCTGTGTGGCTAACATCACCCTTGGAGACAGAAGGCAGGAGTGGGAACTGTCCTTTCTCTGCCCCTCATCCCCCACTGTCCCCAGAGCTTGTCTCTTAGGTTTGACTTTATCCCCAGCCTCTGGAATGGATGCATTGAGGTTGTCAGATCTCTTGCAGGAGTGCTACTGCCCTTTGCTGGCCCCTTGTCGGCCCCTTGAGGACAGAACCTGCCTGTCCTCATGTTCTGCCAAAATTCATGCAGGCTACAGGAGAGGGATGAAGCAGGCTAACAACTTTGCTCGACACACCTCCACATGGGCCTGAAAGGCTGGTGGGGCTGGGGACGCAGGAGCGTTTGTATTTCAAGTGGCGGCTGCCCATGAATCACCAATTTCATTTTGTGCTCTCAGCTCTGCGAAGGCATCATTTCCACTAGCCTCACATGGAGCTGGCGGCCACAGCCTCTTAGTGGGGCTATAAATAGCAGATCATCAACTCACCTCTTCTGAGCTCATCACAGGCTCCTCGGTTTACTGTGTGTCTTCCAGCTGCCTGCACATCACTGTCACTCAGATTTCCCAGGTGAAACCTGGCTGAGAGACCCAGGGCACGCTTTGGGGGGGCTGCAGGGTTTTGGTTCCCAGAGCTTTACAGGGTGACAGCGAGGGCAATGGCAGACTTTTGAAGAGCTTGACATTTAAGACGTCATAATTATAATCTCGGGTCTCTGTGCTCCTCTCCAATTAAATGCAGCAGCAAGGGACTGTCATTTCTCTACAAGTCCTAGAAATCAAAGGCAAAGGAGTCACCCAACACATACCAGAGAAAGCCACACGGAATGGGTAGCAACAAATGAAAGGGTTCATGCCTTCCTGTGGACTCATCTCCTGACACTGAATGAAATACTTAGGGCTCAATGGCTTCAGCAGTGAGATGGCACTTTTCAAAATGTCTCCTAGCGCTCTCATACTGGGCACTCCCTGTGTGTCAGGCACTGTGCCCAGCTTCCACATGCTGCATCTCATCAAATCAACACAACAGCCTTCGATTTCTACCTGCATCTACTCACAGATGCAGGTGTCTTGTCCAGAGTCACACAGACAGGATTTCACTGCAGGGCAACTGCAGAGTCCAGTCTCAGAACCCTCACCCTTTCTACCTCTCTTAGAAAAGGACTGTGTGTGCGTCCATGTGTGTGTCCCCACATGTACAGGACCAGGGATCTGAACTATAGTCTTAGTTTCCCAGCTCCACACACTCCAGGAATGTAAGTAGAAGCCAGATGCTCACAGATTCTTCATCTTCCAAGTCTCTGGCTCTTTTGGCACCCTGAATGTCCCATGTCACCATCTTCTTCCTAATTTGATTTTCTTCTACCTTTTCCTGCAGGGAGAGTACCAGTCTCCAGGAAGCTCTTCTGGCCCCCCTTGATGGTGTTCCTCATAATTTTCTCCTTAGGCCCTACAAAAGGCAGAGTCAGGTGGGACTCCCCTCAAGGCAGCTTTATCCAATCTGCTTCCTCATTTGCCTCTCCAGAGTCACAGTCCCATGTTTAAGATGGGATGTTTTGGAGAAGATTTCTTGTCCCTTCTCAAATCACCTGAAACAAGATCTCAAAGGGTAGAGGCCAGGGTCTCAATTTCTAAAAACTTGCCCAGTGATCTGTCTAGCCATGATTAAGAAACCCTAAGTCAACAAAGAACAGAGGGAGCTCAGAAATAGAGCACTTGCCTAACCCGTGGAAGGCCCTGGGTTCAGTCCCCAGTACGACCAAAACCAAAAACCACCAAGAACCCCCTTGTCTAACTCACCTGGGCATCCTAGGGCAGCCTAGATCCAGCTTCTCTCTCTGAGCTCTCTGATGCATGACTGATATATGTATATAACTTTTTTTTTTTTTTTTTGTACTGGGGATTAAACCCAAGGGAGCTTTATCATTGAACTACATCCCCAGCCCTTTTAATTTTTTTATGTCAAGACAGGTTCTCACTAAGTTGCTGAGGCTCGCCTTGAACTTGTACTTCTCCTGCCTCAAACCCTATTTGCTGAGATTACAGCTATGAACCATCATGCCTGGCTAGCTTAATGTTTTTAAAGCACAGTTTATCTCCTGCCACTCTCCTGCTCAAAATCCTTAGGTAACTCCCTACTCCCTGCAGGAAAATCTGAAGGCCTTAGAGTGGCATTCAAGACCCTGTTCATGAGGTTTATCAATTCTGCCAGCTGGCTCCTGTCCCCCTCCCACAGCAGAGTTACTTTTCCCTATAACAGGTTCCTGACCTGGCTTTCCCTCCTTGGCTTGACTGGACTTCAGATGGCAGTGGGGCTCAGTGGAACACACTGAAATGGCAGTTATCCTCCCCGAGACGTTGAGCCTTCCTGGAAGAGCAATGAGGAATGGCTGTTGGAACATCCCTCATAATTCAAGAGCCATGTTCTACATGGAGGGGTTTTGAGTGGTCTTCAGATGAAAGGAGCTCCTTGGGCAGACAAAACACCACAGTTGGAAGTAGCCAGCACCCGAGAGCAGAAGAGGTGGGTCCATGGTGAATTCAAAGGTGATAACAGGGCTGGGGACATATCTCAGTTGGTAGAATGCTTGCCTTGCATGCACAAGGCCCTGGGTTCAATCCCCAGCACCACAAAAAACTAAAAACAAATCATTTGGACTTTGTTCTATTTCCCATAAACATCTATCCAAAGTAAAATAAAAAGTGACTATTTTGACAAAAAGCGAGAGTTATTTCACAGCACAGCCTGGAAATTGTCATCTGAAAGTGCTTCTGAGTGAACTTCTGGTTCACAAACTTCCGGTTAAACATGGCAGAAGATTCTGTCTTGAATCTGTCTACTCCTTCTCAAAGCCCTACTAAAAACAACTAGAAAGGAGTAAAAATGGGTATAGACAACAAGGTCTCAGAGACCAGGGGAAGAGATAGGAACAGATGAAGGATGTCAACACATTTTTGGAAGGTGGGAAGGGAGGAAAGAAATGGTGAGTCACACGGCAGTGTGGAGGAAGCGGAGGCCTGTGCCTGCAGCAAGGTTCCTGGGAAGGAGCAGGCCAAGCTGCTGGGGAAGGGAGGACCAGGCTGTAAATGGCAGGATCCTGGGGAGGCCAGGTGAGGTGGGCTGTGGGCTGATTACACCTGCCTGCTCCTGCAGGACACCTGGAGTTCTCTCCCTAGGGACTTTGGATCTGCACATCAGACACTGTTCTGGTTGGGTATGAGGAACATAATTGAAAGTAAATGGGAATAAATGGAAACTAGATACTAAAAGGTCCCTTTTTTCCTCACCCTGCTTGTAGAAAGCCAGCAGCCAGGTACAATCCTCACCGCCGAGGCTGGAGTCTAAGGAACACTTTTCTGTAGATATTGAGAGGCTCAAGGCAAAGACCTATTGGGACCCTGAATGGGAGATACACCCTGTGCAGGGAAGTCCAGCATTAGATAAGCCTTGTCTAAGCATGCTGACCATCCAGTCATCTCTTTAGGACATAATCCTTTAATATGATCAGAGAGCCAGGATCTCCAGACAATTAAGGAACACCTCAGACAGGAGAGACAGGTGTATGCATGTGTGGGGGTGGGGGTAGGTGGGAGGGAAAGAACTCATAAAAATTCTTAGGGAGAGACAGTAAGATCTACACCTGAGTTAATTATCATGAAATTTCAGAATACCAGAGACCAAAGAAAAGTCCCTAAAAGAGCTGAATGTGGTGGTACACCTCTGTTATCCCAGGGACTTAGGAGGCTGAGGCAGGAGGAGTGCAGATTTCAGGCCAGCCTCAATAACAGCGAGAATTTGTCTCAAAATAATAATAACAAGAAATATATTAATTATTATTATTATTATTATTAAAAGGGCTGGGGATGTAGCTCATTGGTAAAGTGCACCTGGATTTAATTTCTGGTACTAAAAAGAAAAGGGGGGAGGTGATGAAGAATTAGCCATCTACAAAACAGTCTTCCAAAGCTCTAAAGATATTACGGAGCTTCTGTAACCAGATCCTTTGCTCTGCCTGTAATCGGGTGTGTAGTTTCCCCACCTCCTTCCTGTGAACACTTCTGTTCATCTGTGCTGTGCTTCAAATTAGGCACTCAGACTCAGGATCTCATGGAATGGCCTAGGGCATGCAGAACAGCAAAGGAGTAAGTACAGAAAGTAAAAACAGACACCAAACTGCTGTTATAAGAACACCACTCAAGGTAAGTGAAAAGACTTGTCTAATTCAATAGAAAAACAGTTACATTTACAAGAGGCTTCAACATTCATCCATTGGTACCAAAAATTCCATCTTATATGAATATAAATAATGCCTTAACCAATACATAGCAGAAGTAATCCTCACTACCTGTGCTGTGAGGAGCGGCATAACTTCTGGTGGTAGGATGCCTTTGGGGAATATAATTTCCCTTGCCTTGTGATGTTAATTTGAGGCAATTATCATAAGTAGACTAAAAAAAGTTTTGCATATTATTTGTCCTTGTGAAAGCTGTGTGTTGGAGAGTGAGGTTGTAGAGAAACCCAACCGGGGAATGCTATGTGGGCCCTCCATACCTGCAAGTTCTTACCTGCTGGTAACCAACTACAAGTTCAAAATATTCCGAAGAAAGAACAACATCTTTTTTCTTACCATTATTCCTAAAACAATACATTATAACACTATTTACATAGCATTTACATTGTATTAGGTGTTATAAGTAATCTAGAGAGGATTTAAAGATGATTTAGAGACAGTAAGATGGCAAGTTTGAGGACAACCTCGGCAATTTAGTGACAGCTGTCTCAAAGTAAAAAATTAAAAGGGGCTAGGGTTGTAGCATAGTGGTAAAACACCTCTGGGTTCAATTCCTAGTACTAAATAAATAAATAAAAATATTCGGGAGAATGTACACAGGTTATATGCAAATACTACACTGTTTTATGTAAGGTTCTTGAGGGTCCCAGAACTGTGGATACTGAGGGACAACTATATTCAGAATGTAGATACTTCTGTAATAGTTCTAGATCCAAGACTGGGAAGCTTACCTTCTTCCAGAGAGATCAGAAAACCAGTTTCGAGAACTCAACTCACTCAATATTTTTAATGTACCTTCATATCCAGTTTTTGAGATAGGATGGGCAAAAGTAAAACCACTTCTCCAGTTCATTTGGTTATTTTAGAATTATTTTTTTTCACATATGGAGGAAAAATAGCTCCTCATCCTCTTTGACACATGAATTTAAGTTACTTGCTGAGCTTTCTGGTGGAAAGAAAAAGGAAACCTTGGAGCCTATGGTTTTTGTTCCCACCACCGAGTAGGAGGCCTGGCTGAGACATTTCCAGGGGGGATTGCTCCAGTTGGATTGGCCCTGCTTGGCATGGATGAAAATCAGAAGAGCTGAAAGTGGCCAGAGGGTAAATAAGGACTAGCTGTATTTCCAACCCTGTGTTTCAGTGCCAGGGCCTCTGGGCCAGAGGTTTCTACAGAGCATCAGCCACACAGCAGGGGGCTGCACAAAGAGAAGACAGGCTGCTTAAGAGAGTCTGGAAATTCAAGAATGTGTGTGTAGTGATTGCAATAACTATTCACCAGATTTAAAGGTTAAGCCTGCAGCTGGTAGGTATGGAAACTTAGGTATAAACTTTCTGGAGGGTAATTTGGCAAAGCATAGTAAAAGCTTTCAGAGTATACATGTTCTTTTGAATCAGGAATTCCACTTCTAGGAATTTATCAGAAGGTGGGGGGACCCTAGATGTCCATAGATGTCTAGTTAAAAGGATAAATCACAGTGGCAGTGATTAAATATTTTTATTACAATTTTTAAAACAGGAAAATGTTCCATTTTAGAAGGAACACGGCAGAAATGTAGTTATGAACATTCCTACATGCAATGACAATAAACTTGCAAACTAATGCATTCAGTAAAACCAGAAGAAAACTGCAATGTCCAAAGTGTTATTAATTGCTGCCAGGCTAAGGATGTGTAGCTCAGTGGTACAGGACTGGCCAGGTTTGTGTAAGACCCTGGGATCCATCACACCCCCACCCTGCAAAAAAAAAAAAAAAATCTGCCATAGAACAAGAAACCCAGTGAGGACCCTTGAGTCAGGAGAGCCCATACAGCTTCAGAGAGCTCAGAAATCTCCAGGAATTATTCCTTTTCAAAAGGGCAGGATACCACTTCCAAAGAGAGCTAGAAGAACAAGGCTTACATTGAACAAATCAAGATTTCTAGGGACTAAGGGTGTATAGCTCAGTGGTAGAACACTTGCCTAGCATGTATGAGGCCCTAGGTTTGACCCCAGCATAGAAACCAAAACCAAATCCAAAACCAAAACAAACAAATAAATAAATAAATAAATAAAAACAGAAGAATGATTTCTTGGAGAGAAATCAATAGATTTCAATGATGAGTCTTGGAAAGCACTGGGAAAAGTAAAACTTGTAAAAGTCGACACATTCTCTTCAAAATAAGGGCTATGATGAAACCTGGAAAACAGAGATGGACAGAGCTCTGAAATCTGGAGAAGAGGTGGCTCCTAAGAAGGACCATGTGTGAATTTTTCCATCTGTCAACCCAGAGAGCTATACTTGACACTCCACCACTTCTTCAGGAAAACAGTCACCACCATAGACAGTGAGCAACACCCAGAATACACTTAATAGAAGAAAATCATGGGCCAAAGATTCTATCCAGCCAACTGATCCTCAAGTATAAGGCCCATAGACAAACATTAAAAAAAAACTGTAAGAAATATAGAAATATTCTCATAAGCCCTTTCTGAGGAACCTATTAGAACCATGGACCAACCTCTGAACAACCCTGAGGAAATCAGGGTAAAAGGATTTTCCTTGAGCACTGCATGAATTTAACTGTAGAAACAAAACTACAACAAATAACAGAGGTTAGGGTGACAGATCAGAATGCCAAAGTACCATATTTTAGGTAGCATACCCCAAAGTCATCAATACCAGAATATAATCAGCATTAAAAAAATAAAGAAGGGCTGGGGTTGTAGCTCAGTGGTAGAGTGCTTGCCTAGCATATGCGAGGCACTGGGTTTGATTCTCAGCACCACATATAAGTAAATAAAGGTCCATCAACAACTAAAAACAATATTAAAAAAAAATAAAGAAAAAACAGAGCCAACCATGGAAGTGCACACCTGTAATCCCAGCTCCTTGGGAGACTGAGGTAGGAGGATTACAAATTCAAGGCTGGTCTGGGTAATTTAATGAGACTTTGACTCAAAAAAAAAAAAAAAAAAAAAAAGACCTGGGGATGCAACTCAGTGGTAGAGCTGCTCTGGGCTCAATTCCTAGTACTGGGAAAAAGGAAAAAAAAAAAAGGCCAATCTAATTCATAAACATCAATG